TTTCAATTCATTTCTACTTTAAGAAATCTAAGGGGTAACTGCCTTTCTACAACTGGCTGTAGACAGTGAAAGGCAGTAGAAGTTGAGACATTGTTGGTGTAATCACTCAGCTTTGTACCCATATTTGATTGATTTTTTTTTAATTTTCCATTATGGCGACTAGATTGATATTGGCATTTGAATTGTGTCTGACAGATAGGACATTCCCAACCACCACTGATACCATATGGTATTTCGATATATATTACCCCCACCCCCATAAGTACCACATGTCCCTGTTTTGATGTATAAATTTATCTGTTTTTATCATAAGGAACTTAAATGTAAAAATTAGAAACTTCCCAGCTTAGCATGACTAAACTTCAATATAATAAAATGTCTAAGATTTAATGAGCTGGAATACACTGTGAAACATTACACTTGACAATCAAATGTTTATGTTACCTCTATGGGAAACAACTTATTGGCTCCCACTTGATTTATTGTTTTTGACATAACTTACTACTCTAGTGTGTACAAAGTACAGCAATAAAACTATAAATTGAAAGGAAACGTGTGTGAAAAAAAGCCAACAGTTGAAATTGTTAAAAGTAATTTGGTGCTTTCTGATCAATACTGCAATCACAGCAGAGGAAAAAATTTTATTTCATTTCATTGTACAATTAACGTTATGACAGAGCAAATAGGAGAAACGTATACTGATAACACATGATTATCATTTGGGGGTCCTAGAGGTTATGTAAATGAAATATGAAGTATTTTTATTCTTGGCATGAAAAGAACCTATTATTCAGACTCGCTCAATAAGGGCTTCAGAAATTACAAATAAATCTTTTTTATTTTTTGTCTTTGACAGACTTGTAATATTCACTTATATCTTGCCAAATTTTGTGAATACATAGTTAATTCAGTTATAGTAATAGTTAGTATGTATAGCTCTCCATGAACAGATGGTTAATTCAATCAGTTGATAGCATAGAATTCAAGTTGTTAAGAACAGGATTACAACATTCCACAATTAACATTGTATTATCTGGTGGCAAAACATTGTAGAGTTCTTCACTTAATCCTGTTTTTAGGTATTTAAACTCTTACCTCAAAATTATTAAACATAAAGTACTTTGTCTATAACTGCCTTTGAAAGTAAAATTAAAGACAGGCTTTGTATAAGTTCTAACTCCTTTGACACCATACAGTGTTGTATGTTCTGTTTGTTAAATTTTTTTAATATAACAGAACCTTACAGGTTTAATTGGGAATGACTGAAAGAAAAAAATGATGATTTATTAACTGTTAATTGTATTTCAATAAGATAAATTTGCAATTCTCCTGGACACGTATAAAGCTTTTTTAAATTTTTGTTTCTCTTAATATTGTTTCTATGATAACAGGAAACTACTTAGACAACTGGAAACTTGTGTCTACATTACAAGGTGATGGATCAGCTGTTACTGGAGATAAATCACCTGCACCAAGTAGCTCCATTTCTTCCACTCCCTATTACAAATTGGGACAAATTACTGGTCCTGGACAGGTGCCATGGCACTGACTGTATGCTTATATGTGTCATCTTCTGTTGAGTATTTCATGTACAGAACACCTTTTTTGATTGTGTTAAAGAAGTTGATTGTTGTACCAGCAATTAAAGTTAAAATAAATAACTGGTATTATGTTAACCATAGGCCACTCCTATTAAACAAGGTATAATATTTTTAAAGAAACAAATGCATAAACGTATGATACAAACTAACTCTGTTTTCTTTTCTTGTAAGTATGTCACAAATTATTTCTTAATTTCTACTTAATCCATAAGCTTTTAACAAGAATCAACAATTAAGTGACAAAACAAATGTCTGAGAAGAAAATATATATAATTGATTTTTGGTTAACTTACTATAATAGTTAAAGTAAATTGAATATTGTATTTCGAAGAAGTAATCACACTTACAAAGCAGTGAAGTGTTAACTTAATTCTAGAATTTAACAGAAAAAAAAACTACAGTTTTTATATACTTTACATTGCTAACTGGAACGCAATACCAAAGCTTCACCAACAACAAGTCTAACTATATATTTTTTAAACTGACTTGGAAATTGTATTCATTCTGCCTTCTGGTGGCTAAGTGGTAAGCTTGAGGTTATAATTCTAAAATTCAGAATTTAGTCCTTGTGGTGGCCACAGCACAAAACCTAATGTCCAGCTTTGTTGTTAACCACAAACAAGCATTACATTTATTAAGTTATCTGGTATATTAAGACCACGATATCAGGCTTAACAAAGTAAAGTTGATAAAATTCTTGCCAAGTGTGCAGAAAGGCAGAATTATAAACCTATAATATTTTAAACATTACATTCTTTATCCAATCCCATAGGGATTTTCTAGAATTAGAATTCCAACCATATTATAATTACTGACAACATGCTTTGCTCAGTTGATATGGCAATCAGAGTATGATTAGAATACTATCATTATACACACTTCTAATTCTTGAAAATCCAGATGGGACTTCATTCTTTATCTAGTGTTTAAAAATATAATAGGACTAATACTAATGTCTTATGACAACTATAATTATAATCATGCTTCATCAGCTTGTAAAAGGCATTCACACCATGAATATGTGGGATCAGGGTTTAAGCAGGATCAACATGATTATTACAGTTAAAGAATACAGGTTAGTGGTTTTCATTAAACTTATTATTGTAAACTTAACTTGAATTTCAAGAATATGTCTGATGTAAAGAGTTTCTGGGTGGGTTTAAAAAACTGTGTGTGTTGGTTTATGTAAAAACCTTTGAAGGAAAACACCTCACACAAACATGGGTCATTCCTTTTGTATTTCATAAGCACATGGATACATATGTACACTGTACACTTTCAACAGTGTCAGACCAAGCTTCTACAACATTGTCACCAGATGGAGAAGTAAAATATCAAATATAATCTTAACATTAAAAGAACAAGAAACTCATCTTTCCAGACCTACAGTACATGCTGGTAGGATGTATTATCAGTGCTTTGGTCATCTTGCTGTAAACAATCTAACTTTACCATATAGCTGCAGCAAATAAATTTAATTTTGACTATTGAAAATACTTCTCAGCTCAAAATAACTATTTTTAGTTATCCTACATAATTCTTTCTATACACATACATTTTTTTTTAAGAGTGGGTGAAGGCCTACACACACACTTTTAATAACAATTCTGGATCAGAAACCAGTGAACAAAAGCAAATATAAATTTACCTAAGCAATACATTTCAAGATATGGTTGAATTACTCGCTAGTAACTATACCTGATAAACATGTGTAAGACTGACCTCAACATTGATATCACGCAACATACTGATTTCTTGTATCCATTGCTTTCTTCAAGCACTGGTAACATCAACAAACAAGTATCTAGCTTAAAACACAAAACCTTTTTCTTACTGAATATTCTAGAATTCTAAATAATATAACAATACAGATGAAATATTTCTCACAATGTAGTACTTAACTGTACTTATAGATTGAAAAAAGCAGTTTTAATTTCACCTTTAGTTGAATCAACTGGTTTAACAATGATAATAAGTAATAGCTTACGCAGTTTTTACAATTATTTTAATAAAACTAAAATTACTATTAATTTGTTGAAATCTGATGCAATGTAGTAGTTTTTAGACATCAGTAAAGACTAAAATAAAAAAATATACAATATAATAGTTTTTAAAGGGAGCAAGAAAGCTCTGGGAATTTGTTCCATTATCATATTGGCTTTCTTTAATATAAAAGTTATTATATAAACCCATTACAAGATATTGATTACCAAATCAAATAGTTTTTTAATATTTTCCAATTATCGTTATGTAACCTGCTATGTTACTTTTGATTGCAATCGATCAACATGTGATTTTAAAGAATAATTTGCTTAAAAGCTGGTGCATGATTTATACTTCACTGATACATGTTATCAATGTGTATCTAAACAAACCTACGTGACTGTGTAAGCAAGAAGAGTAGAATAATATATGGATTAAAATTGTAAAATGAATTTGTATACATAAAATATTAGTAAACAATAATATTCAAATTAGCAACTGTTAAGATCTGTCAAGAAACAACTAATATGTTCTTGGAGTCTAACAATTTCTGTTTCTACTAACTACATATAATAAACTGAAGTAATAGTAAAAAATAAAACTCCAATCACGAATGGGAGGACTTCAGTTGGAAACTGATTACTGCTTTTAAAAGTTTAACTTTTCACATGATGTAAATATTGACATATGCACTTAACGAGGCAGCTACCAGTACACATTTTGCACTCTTCTCTACTAATCTACACTCTAAACACAAAACTATCACTTCCAATTATAACATAAAAAATAATAAAACTGTATTGTTTTAGTATGTTCTTAGCTTCATACTATGGTGAAAAACAATATCTATTATCTGCACAAAGGTAACCTGTGGTTCCAAAATTTGCTACATTATGTAGTCTTGACTTCTAGGTTTCAAAACCTACTGTGGTCAAATAATATGGCTGTTTTGGCATTTACCAGATATTTTTCTTCCTTTGGTTATTGCAAGTCCATTAATAAGATTTGATTTACTCCAGTAGTCTTATATCCAAAAACCAAAACTTAAAGTTTATTGATAATCTCAATAACTTAATCACTATCATCCTTAGACTTCTGACACTTTCAGTAACCAGATTTTTTTTTTCTTTTTATAATTTACTAAAGTTCCCAATAATTTCACTACAAGAACTTTGTATTCTATCAAATATTAGACTTTCAATAATCATGAAAATTCCAGTACAGCACAACTGACATTTGTGATAATAACTTCAATCAGAAGTAACAAGACATTTTTTAATAAATTGGAATAAAATGCTTGATTCACGTACAAACAAAGATACTCTCATGTAATAATACATATCTAGGATACTTTTGCTAATTCTTATTGGTCATTACGGTATCTATATTATTATATACCAATCAGAGAAGTTATAGTCAAAAAGTTGTGTGATAATTTAGAAGAGGTTATAAAAGTTTTTAAAATGTCTGAAAATTTTTAAATAAAAAAAAATCTTGCATGATCTATGGAATTATTAAGGGATACAAAAATGGCTAAACTGTACCATTTTTAAGGGTTTTGAAGTACTGCCTTTTTTTTACAGTGTTTAAATGTATGTGTGTTAGCTAATTAAGCAAGACCTAAAGAATTCCAACTGTCAAGGAGTATTAATGAAATGACATAGGGTTTATCATACATCTTATGATAAAAGCTGCCACTAGGCTACTTACCACAGGTAGTCTTTATGCATAATTATATATGGAACCACACTTTACCTAGTAGAATTACTTGAAAAAAAAGAATAGCTGTAGTAATTAACTTCTAACAATTTCATTAGCTGTCAGCTATGAAACATATTACAACAATCTTATATCATACCCACTTCTGTCTAAACAAAACCAATATGTCCAATCAAAAACATCCAAGATTTATGCTGTTTTGTTAGACCAACTATTTGATTGTTACAAACAAAACGAAACTTAGACTATATTCCAGGTGTGTTTCAGACACTTGAAACTATTTAACATATTAATCCCTATTATCCTGTTAATCTTCAATGTCTATGATAAACCCTCCAAATAGTCGATATGCTCCTGATTTGTGTTCTAAAATAGCATCACTTCAAAACCTATGAAGCTTTTGATCTTTGGTCATTATAAACAGCCTCTGCATAAGCTTATATACTGTTAATTTGGTTTAAAATAACGTCTCAACCTTCTTATTATGTGACCAAATCATGTTTAAGATATCCCCACTTAAACCATCTCATCACTTTGCTACTCAGTGGCAAAAATATTATCTTAAAACTGTTTTAAATAACATTAACTCAACCCTTTTTGTTAACTTATTAATCAGTTTAAAGTTATCTCTTCAACCACCCTCTATTACTTTAATTCCTCTGTTACCAAGGTTTGTTTCAAACATTATAACTTTACCCTCCTCTTTTAACAAACTTTAAAGTTCTTAACAAATGGTACTCTACTGGTTCTTGTACAGGATTACAGAGAAACTAATGTGAATTAACAAATGTTTCACATTAGAATCCTGTTTCTTTAAGGTAATGAACATTTCACATAAAGTTCCACAACTCTCATTTAAAGTGCTTTCATTGCTTGGAATCTCAATGAAACAAGTACCTTTTCAATACGTTGTTAATTTAACCTATCCACCCACTATAAAGAGTATTTTTTATACAACTTAAGTACAATATCCTCAAGTGAACAGAGAAATTACCTTCCTGAGGAAGCTGCATTTGTAAAATTCAAATAAATGCTTACTTCTGCATGGATAAAAAGCAGCAAGTTCCTATCACTCAAAGGTAAGTTATTAATTATAGTTGAAATAAAAAATTAGTTAACAGCTATACATTCTGAATAAGAAAAACAACCTGACATTCTAACCACATCTTGATAATTGGTGTAGCTGGAGTTTTTGTTTTTTAAACTCTAACCAAGTCATCAAACTATGTTCTTGTTAAGGGATTAATTCTTATTCATATAATGTGAAAGTTCATACAAAACAAAAGGTTATATAAAGATATTTCCAATGATAAGACCAGATGCAAACTTGCTACTTACACCTTTTTAAACGAAACTCACAAGAACTCTAGTGTAAGGTGTCAAAAACTTTATAGTACATCAGAAGCACCCTAAGAAAGCATAATTCATTAGTCCCCAGAAACTGCTTTTCTTGGACAATACAGAAAAAAATGAGAATTGTTTGTAACACATTCCTTTCCAGTTTTCTTGGATATTCCAGAACAAGAGTTTACTATGCAGTTTCCAGACTTTGCTCTCTGGTTTCCTTGAATAAGACTAGAGTCATTAACTTAATGTTATAAAACAACAAGGTACAAGTGGACAAGGTGTTACATATATATATATCTGACAACAACTAGCTGCTGACCAACCTGGCATCAGCAGACTATACTCTTTATGGATTGAATTGTCTTCCTTAGGGCAGCCAATAGCAATCAAGCTGCTTCCATGACTGTGCAGGTCCAGCAGGAATTTAACCTGGTTATAATTTGTAACCAAAGTTATGAGTACAGGCTCCACAATCTTTCTGTGCGTTCCGAGTCCATTTGTCTCATTTCAAATTAATGTGACCTGAGCCCCAGAGCCTGGCTAGTCCAAAGTTTGGATGCTGCCAAGAAAGAAATAAAGAAAACAGAAGGGGGAAAAAAAGGAAGGACTGGGCTGGGACAAGAGTTGAGGTTCCTGCCCCCAGCCCTGATACAGCCACAAAACACAAACAACATACTGGTATCAAAACTGGGAGATTGAGCCAGTGGGTAATGTCACATGATGAGAGGCCAGCAGCATCCATACTTGACCCTGTACTACGAAAGCTAGTAACCATCACAAAAGCTCGTACTGGCGAAGATGCATCCTCTGAATGATATCCCTACAGTCATTAAAGACACGTCTGATGTTTTCTGTGTCCACAGCACAGGTGAAATGTGGGTAGCAGTAATGCTTTCCATCACCACTGGCTGTGCTGATCCGCTATAAAAAAAAATATAGTTTCTAAGTTACTAACATAGATATATAAGAATGCACCAACATTTTTACAACAAAATACCTCAACACCAATGTTCACACTGACAAAACAACACACTTCTAGTGATCAGACCTGAAAATTATTAACATAATTGGATTAAAACATTGTCTACTCAGGTTGCCCTCTTCAACAACAATTTTCAACTGTTCACTGCCTTCTATGTCTTAACAATATTCTGTTAGTAGCTTTGACATGATTTTAAGTTGCCAAAGTTCAGTGTTTGTTTGGTTTAAGTGAAATATATGTACCATATAATTGTTACATCATTTCTTTTTCGAAATTGTTTCAAATATTTTTTAGATGCCTACCAGAAATTCATCTCGAATGAAGTATTTCGCACGCACCACTTCACAGTCCTCACCAGGCTCTACAACAGCTGAAATAATAAATATTTAATCAATCACACACAAATCATAACAATAAAATAATATGTCCAATTATATAAATAAATATAATAACAACATAGCAACTGTAACAATGCATTTTGAAATTTTAAGTTAAAAAAAAAATCTTCACGAAGATGTTTGTACAGTAAATACATTAATGATTAAACCATTAATTTGATACAATGTACCAAACATCAAGAACTGTTACACTAAAATCAGTACTGATGCTCGGAGATATAAAAAAAAAAAATCATGTAAAAGTTGTACAATTTATATAATTGATCTTTAGTAGTTTGGTGTAGGATATCAAAAATCAGTAATCCACTAACTATTAGTAGCGTTATATTTCATTACAAATTAAGTCTCAGAAACCTTTCATTTCTTATACCCAATACTTACCATCAACAGGAGTTTGATACTGCATAAAATCAAGAAAATAATCTTCTAGCTTGGATTTTCCTGCTTTAATCTTTTCTGCTAATAAATCTTGTTTGTTCAAGAAGAGTATAACTGATATTGTTCGTAACCATCTAGTAAAGAAAACAATTGTCTTTTAATCTTGTGAACTGCAGCCCCAATCTCAATGTATCTCTATCATGTTAACACAACTGTATTCATAACATACAGTTATAATGGCCTAAACCTGAACTAACTTCTGATCAAAGACTTATAACAATAATCAGACAAAAAAAAACAGTCTATACCTTAACAAACTTATGTTGTCAATGTTCAAGAAATAATATAATTCAAACAAAGAAAATAATCTACACTTCATACTTCAATTAAAATACATGAAACTAGCATGCTTATTTAGAACACAAACAACATCCCTTACTTTTGCAAAAATACATTCAGAATAAATTGAACATCTTTTACTTCTGCTATAATCTGTGTGGATATATTTCATACAACTTACGTTTTAACATGCATCTGAAAAACACATTAAACTACATTCAAAATGCAAACAATAGCCTATTATTCAGTATACATTCACAAAAATATATATTTAGAGAACAAACAACAGCTTATACTTTTGATACATGCAACTGCAGAGGCTGAGTACATTATATTAAAATGGTTTTGGAGCTTCACCACATTGTTACAGTCCATGTAGCAACATCCAATCATGCTGTGATGACCAAGCATCTTGACAATAGCTCTGCAATGTAGTTTCCATTGCAGCCATTCATTCCATAAGCAGCTAGTGTAAAAGAACAGCGGCTTCCCACCACCCTTTTCAACAGTCTTATTGCACAGGAATCCATAGCTGCTGTGTTTAGTGACTTTACAGATATGTATTCATATGGAACAGCATGAATTTCATTTCACAATCCAGCTGCTTGTGTGCAAGAATTAAAAAAGTGTTATGGAAACAACTTGTGAGTTGTGTCATTTTTTTCAGATGGAGATTCTTCTTGATTATGTTACATTCTATTGCCTGTAACAAGTAGACAGCTTTTGCAACTGACCTTTCTCTTTGTGAGTGCTCATCTGTTACAAGATGCTACATTTTCCTAACCATGGTTGGGGTACTACTTGTCACATGTCCCTTTCTGGATGGTCCTGGTTCATCAAGTTGATCCATATTCTTTGTTTTCCAATGCCATTAAGTACAATGAACTTCCCCATTTTGGAAATTCTAAATTCCCAATCTGAACACATATTTATGATCTGAATATAAGAATATTTTGCATAAGAAAGGGTTGTCACATACCCTTCTCCAAATCAATCAGTTCTTCCTGAAATCATACTAGCTATGAAATGCAAAACAATGTTATAAAATGTGTTTACAATATATGCCTTTCCACCACGACTTAATATTGATTGTGATTATTATGAAACTTGCTTTCTGCATATTCAAAATTGTTTTCATATAAAATACTCTTCCTATGTATTACAGTTATAATTGTTTCAACCTTCGAAGGTTTTTTTTATATTCCCATCATGTACGTCTTTCGCTCTCTTCACAAAATAATAAATCTGAACCTTTCTTCTACTTCTATGTGTAAACATGCTCAACGCTTTTATGACATCATTACAGTGATAAAAACTTTCTGGTTTAAAGTATACTTGTTTGAAAGGACTACATTTATCTGTACTAGAATGTCAACACATGGCTTGCTATTATAGACATTGGCTAGCACGGACTGGCCTAAAGTAGTGTTTGCAAGTTATTTCATCCACCAACAGATCTTAAAAATCTAATATTAAAAAAAAAGCTTAATTACAAATTAAAGTTGTAATTTAGTATAATTAAAGCTTTTCAAACAAAATTATACCATTAACTCCTAAAAAAAAAGAACTAATGTTATGCTTTAAGTAATACTATACTATAAAGTTGGCACACAATATAAAGTCTAACTGTAGCTTAAGTCTAACAGGAATTAAAGAGCTAAATATACAGTATTAAGTGTTCTATTTACTTCATTCACTCACTCACATCACTGATATACATCAATGTGTATGTGACTGAATCAAATAATATTTTAAAAAAATACTTTTACAAGTATGCACATCTCTGAAAATTCCATGCACATGCTAAAATCTTCCACTCAAACCACACCATCAGTTGAAGGTCTATAGATATATATTTGGTATTTTCAGTTCAAATTCATTTTCCTTAAACTAACAAGATATGTCTGCAGGGTAACAGGAGATTCAACAAGATATTTATTACAAAGTAATTCTGAGTTCTCTCTCCTTGAATGTGTTCATGAAGAGGAAATAATGAGACTGGACAAGATGAACAATCTTTATTAATTAAAACACAATATGTGTACTTGCTTTGGATGCTGGACAGATCCTTTGACTGAAATTAAGCTGTTTTTGCTCCAAGCTGCACTTGATGAGGATTCCACCAGACTGAATCGACTGAGATTGTGTACCAGAATAATTAATCCTTACATTACTTACTTAAACTTGGTAACATCAGACTTACCCAGAGTGACTAGTGCTACCCCGTGGCTGGTCATTCTCATTCATATTTAAAGGAGGGCATAACCTCGAGGCATCACCTGATCTACCATAGTAGGATAGTGCTATCAACATTCATGCACAAGGGTAGCTTTACAGCCCTAAATTCCATGGGTAGAACAGGTGTTAGCTCCAAAAAATGACAAATGAACAAAGGCAGCTAGAACGAAATCAACTTAACGACTTTCTTGATCACACTATGTGAAAACTGCACATACAAGGAATAAATGATAAATTCCAAAATATACTATGATAAAATAAAAAGGTAGAAAATGCATGTTATGCTTATATACCCACACACATTTTTATGTACATACACTAATCTAATTACCTACATGGAACAAGTATGTATAAGATTCTCACACCTAAGTTACAGACACTTATAAGCACTTTCATGTAAATCTACCTACCTATCTATCTGACAGTTATTTTGATGATTAAAAATTTTATATTCAACGTTTTGCAGTCAAACAATGAAACAATTAATTATCAGGGGAGCTTGAAGATTAAGCAATCTTCCTTCTCCCCACACAAGGTACTGGTGAATTTGGGATTGTATGGTTTATTTTGTTTAGAGGCCAATTCCTTGGTTTCAATTTGGAAAAAAAAGTTATAATTAGGTGGATGTTTGTTTTATGAGGCAAGACAGGAGCAGAAGTGAAGGAAAGGCAAATCCCAGGCATGCACTGGAGAAGAAGAGCCGATTTTGACAAACCTTTCATGTAAAATTATAAAATTTTCAACATGTTTTCAACTTAACTCTATTCAAGCTTGGAATAAGGTATTTAACTTACAACAAATTTCATTAAAATAGTTTGATTAGGATTTTCATGACAAAGTTTATTAACCAAAAAATTTAAAATTTAGCATTTGGTCTGCATTTTTAAGATTTAATCAATAACCTGCCAAAGGTTAACCACAAGTACAAACTGTCTAATCCACTTTGGTGCAGCATCTGCTCTATAGTTTTATTAAATAACTGTTTAGGGCTAAATTAATTTTAATACCATTACCTTACATATATATACTGATCAAGTGAGTTTAATTACACAAACATTCTGTTTTTTATATAATGATCATTTCACCAACAAGTAACTTTTATTGCAGTCTCTATTAATTCTCATACAGTCTATAAATAATTAAAACTGTTTATGATAGCAGTATATCAATTAACATGGATGAATTTAACCCTTTCACTATGGACTCCGTCCCAGGGACCGACCTCACAACCATTTTGTGCTTGTTATAATTTTCATATGTTTAAAATTCCTAATACAGTATACATATCTTAATGAAATATGAAAGATTATCATTAAACAAGGCTTTCGTACACAAAATATCAGATTTTTAAAACTAAGTAAGTTTAAGATTTTTAAATTAAGGATTTGTTCGTGGATTTTTGTTATTTCTAATGTTAACTATTCCACATGCAAAGTAATTTTGATTTTAAGATTACAAATACCTTTATGCATCAGAAAATTGTCAAATTTCATTTATGAAATCTAATAAAATTCAGATAAATGTCAAACGTTTTTTATTTTTGAAAAATTTTATATTTTATCTGTTATTTTCTCTATCTTATCTCTGTATGGCTTGGTCAAATTGACCAATTTCATAACCAGCATAAAAATATTAGGAAATAAAATATAACATACTTTTTTGTTCTAGAATGACTACAAAATTGTAACATGAAACCACAAATGTTTATTTTAATAGTTTAAATCTCGTAACATTATACATCTATTTATATTTATTGACCTTTGAGCCATGTATGATTAACATTATAGAAGTTGCAAATACAGCGCATGTGAATCTCATGTTACCATATCCAGCAACATAATACTGGTGTTTACAAAGTGATCTGTCTTGGCTTTGTTCTGGTGGACCAGTATTTTGTAAAATACAGTCACATTACAGTTTTAATACATCATGTGTGTGTATATATATTATAACTATTTACAAATAAATTTTTAAATTTCACTTATTTTTCTTAAAAAATAAAACAGTAAATAAATAAATATAGAAAACAATGATCTCTACAACTTACGATTGTAAAGAAGTTCATACTTGCTTCCCATACCTTGCATGTTATGCCTTGCTGAATTTTGCACGTGGAGGATGTCAAACGAAATAACTTTTTTAGGTTTTATATATGCATTTTGAAATAACAAAAAATTATAAATCACTCTGCCAATATCACAGAATTCTACTGTCATTTATCAGGCTTACTAACTGAACTGTATTTGGGACTAAAAAAATAATGTATTTCAAACACCGTTTTCTCTTACCCTGTCTTCCAAGATTGGAAACAAAAGACTAAATTTGGGAAATACACACCTTGAAAAGGCTGAGAAACCCAAGTGGAGGGAAATTCTGAGCTTATGATTGGTTATGAAACACATGATAGTGCAAGGCAGGTGTATGTAAGAATGTATGGAAGAGGTGGGTGGGGCCACTGTGTTTGATTCACCAAATATACTCATATCTCAGTAAATAGAAAAGATATGAGGTTCTCATTTTATATTTTAGCTTGTAAATATGGGCAATTTGATTTTCTAATTTGTAAGAAACTATAGATTTTGTATTTGGACATCACAAACATATAGTTTGAACCAAAGCTGCATTCACAACAAACCACATGACACACAAAAATCAATATTTAGGAATTTTTTAAAAATCTTTTCTTTTAAATTAAGTAATGTATAATACTAAAATTTGAATTATAAGCTACAATTTCATACCATACATATTAAGTTACATTCATAAAATAGTAGTTCAATACAATTTTGAATGTTAGTCCACAAATGTGATGATATGCCCTTTGACTACTGACCATAGGAAAACCCACAGTGATAAGTTAATTTGAGTGAATTCTATTTACAAAAGTATACATTAATTTATCTAATGCAATGTTACAAGTATTTCAACTATTTCCTGAATATGCACTAAACAGTTTAGACAATCTGATCATTTAACCCTATACGCCAAAATGTGCATTTGTATGTCCATAAAAATGGCTTTTATAACATAGTTTATAATTCAAAGTTTTAATTTCTTAATTTCAAAAGTAAGCATTTAAATAAATTTAATTTTTCACCTCCCAATGTCATATGAGGTATCTCCCCTTTTAATTCACATTTTTTAGACTTTATCTCTTTCCTTATATGGTTTTCAGAGTTCAACCAATTAGAAATGCAAACTAAAGATAGTAGCAGACCAGCATATAAAATATGAACTTCCCATATTCTCGATTTTCTGAGATATCAGTAAATCTGTGAAACTCACCAAAAAGGCTCCTTCCATCTTGTCATAGTCTTAGTGTGGTTTCTAACCCATAAGTTACGTATTTATTGGATATTCTTACAACCAGCAGATAGAGAAAAATTCAATGCACCACCCATTTATATTTGTCTGTTAGTTTTAGCAATGAGAATTGGTAGTAGGCAATGTGTCAATGTATAAAGTCACTGCTCTGAGAAGTGATGGAATTTTTTTACCCTATTTACAGCTTAGTTAGAAAGCCACCTAAATTATAGTAGTTTTGGGACATTCTATACTAATACCTGATATATTTCTTCTGTTCTAAAATGCTTTTTTGAAAGCTACATGTATTATTTTTTGGACAATCAATATATAGTCAAAAAAAGGTAGGTTATGAAAGCATGGAACCTAAGTGAAAACTGGCCTCAAGGCTAAAGTAAGTACTAAATTTCTCGTTTTTTTATTTATATTTTTTATTTCATTGTTATAGTTTAAACAGAATTAACTAAAATATCAAAATATTAAATTATTTCTTGTGATATTCGCTCTCAGACAGCACACATTTTGACATCTAATGATGTGATTTGATGATTTGTTTATAGTAACCTCTCCTGTTGGAAGATTTATTGTTTTTCAGGTACTGAGAGAGAGATTGAAGTACAATAAAACCATAAAATTAAATGAAAGCAGACGTGAAAATGTTAGAAGCTGAGGTTGTTAAGATAAATAATTGTAACTGTCAACAGTTACAATATGCAGAAAGATTTTATTTCATATTTTTCAACATTTCATTGCACTATCCACTGATGATTTCATTACAGTTAGTGTTAGGGTAGAGAAAAATAAGAGATAAAATTTTACCAAAAAACTTTACATATTTATCTGGGAGATTCCAGAGAATATGCAAATGAAATTTAAAACTGTAAGATAAAAAAGGCATTGTTATTCATGACAATCAACTTGCACTCAGATTAACTCAGTAAAGGCTTTGGAAATTCACAGACAAACCTTTGGTAAAAACCTTTATTAAAATTTCTGAATTTCTGTGTACAACAGACCTATAACATTTACTAAAAGCTTGCCAAATTTCATGAAGGTAATGATAATAAATGTAAAATTATAGTAAACATTAATGTTATAGCTTCACAGATACAGTGTCAGCCCAATTCTTAAATACCATCACTGAATAAAACTTTTTCTAGGAACATAACTCTTCCAATTGTTGTCAATGACAATAAAATGAAGCACAAACCACTGACACAATAGCTGCCTCCAGAATTTCTCTTTCAGACGATGTTCACTTATAGTATTAAAAGTTTGAACAATACACTTACTAACCTGTTATTCCAAATACTCTTGAAAAGGTCAAGAGACTCTTTAAGTCTATTTTGGCTAGCATCTTCCCGTAGCACCATGTTGTAACTGCTACTGGCTGTGACAAAAATGATAGCAGTAACGTCATTGAAACACTGGATCCATTTCCTACGTTCATCACGCTGTCCACCTACATCAAACATGCTGTAAACATAGAAAAATGACTATAAAAAATACTATTGAAAAGAAATTAAAAAAAAAGTCATTCCTGGTTTTTACACATTGTTTTTTTTACAATATTTTACCAGACAAAGAATTATTGATAAATAAATGCTGACAAGAAGTTCTTAGTATTTCAAAGTTATAACTATTTCCAAATCTACAATTTACTGTTGTCACATATAAAGGTTCCTTTAACAATCCAGATACACTGATAAATAATAGTTAAATACACAATACCATGTAACTTAACACTGATAAATAATATATAAATACAGACTACCGTGTAAATTAGCACTGATAAATGTTTGTTGATGCTGAACTCCAATTAACTTAATGTTACATTTCTTTCTGCAAATATCTTTTTAGAATATAAGTATACAGAATTTCATGGTCTACAGATTGCTGATAAACAGGTAGTTTCCTGATCCCAAAAAAAATATCAGTAATATGTTAATTTCAGTGTTACAAATACATATAATTCTACATACAAACTTTTATCTCTGTAATATAAAAATCATTAAAAAAAGGGGAATTCTTGTCCAAAACTTGACAAGTAACTGTTGCTAATGCTATGATAGTTAGTGTACTCGATGAATCTTGTTAGGAGATACTGAATATTCACAAAAAAATAATATTAAGTACTTAAAGCAGCTTGAACAAAAATCATAACATTTCCGGGAATGTTATTTTGTCCAAGTAAAGTTTAAATATTCCTGATATGACTGGTAATTTAATCCTCTGGCAGCCAGTTGAGTCCACCCTGCACCAAGAACAAAACTGCACCATTAAATTAAAAAATACAAATAGAAAATAAGCCTATACTCTTTCTTGCACACATGAAAAAAACAAAAAAACTTCAGAATATAAACTAATTCAATAACAGGTTTTATCCATTTAGTTTTATGCATACAAACTTTGATTTTGAGTTGTTGATTTAAACACATTCCAAATGAAACATTTAGTGTTTGTGAATTTCCCCAAGTTTTTCAGATAAGGCACTCATATTCCCCTAGGAAGGAAGTTGAAATAGTTTTGAACAAAACAGAACCAATTTGAACCTTATAATGTCAATATAAGTGTAATTTTATCAATTTTAGCCAATCATCATTTTTCAACCTCGGTTGTCATGGTATGATATAACTCAGCTAACTGTCTGTAACTTAGTTTTGAGAAGCCATAGGCTCATGACCTAAACACATAATGAAAGTTATTTCTCTGTTCTTTTCAACAGGTAATATGACTTCCAGTTCAGAGATAAAACCTTGGCTTGTTAATATGTTGCTATAAGATGTTTATGAACAACTTCCATCACAATTACTATCCTGAATATTTTTTGTTTAAAGCTTACAAAAAACTTACTCTATCATCTCATACTCTATTTTAATTATATTGGCTTAGTTGGATCATTTAGCAGACAAGGGATATGTTGTTTTGGCTATGTTTACTTCTTTAATTATCAACCTAATTTACTGACTGAATGGGTACAGAAAATCACTGAGAAGAAATGTAAAAATCATATATAGAAAGTAATACAAAATGGGTTTGAAACTTATTACATATATCAAATGAAACCTTCCAATTAAAATTATTAAAAGTTTGCTTGATTATCATAAATATGTTAAAACTTTGTGCAGTGTTTTTCAAATCAAAACAATGATAAAATTTACAGTTTCTTAAAATGAAAACTTTCTTTTTTTTATAAAAGTTAAAATTTTCTTACACTGAAAATATATTTCCAATAGGTACTCACCTTCTCTTAAGCAAAGCTATCTCGATCTTCTTTCTGCTCTCTAAGATTGCTAAAAATTTCCATACTCAGTGCACACGTCTATATAACCCACCAATTCCACACCACTATTGAACAAATACAGATCAAGTGACTACTCTCCACCAATAGTATTGAGCCACCTATATTGGTGCAGCTACTTCCCTCTGCTATTCTTGCTTAATACTCACTTTTGAGAATTAGCAGAATCTAAAAGAATAACACTGGCAGTGGGGAAGAAGTGTGTGAGTGGAGGTAAATACCTAGCAAAAATACATTTTCAATGTAAGAAAATGTTAACCTCCAATACAGTGTTACCTACTCTCACACAAAGCTAGAATCCTACATTGCAATGGTAGAGAGGCCAGTATAGGCATACAACAATGAAACTAAGCAGGTGTTCTCTGAGATAAACTGAAGCACACATGTGGGGCAGCATATTACTACTGGAACAGGTATGTCCTTCACATGGGTGGTAAAAAAAGGATAGACACAAGTGTAATTCGTTCTGAGAGATGCAATCGAAAGTAAAAAACAATCTGACTTAGCTATGTATATACCACACCTCAAACAGACAGACTAGAGTTCACAACTCGTCCTCAGCATTAGGAGGTTGAGAATCAATCAGATAAAAACGAATATTGTGTAACATAAACATTGTGGCTAGGTCATGTGGCCATGTTACATATACACATGAATCCCAATAGTAAGTAAACAGTGTAATATGTCAAGCAACCAGACAAACTCCAAAAACCACTGTAGGAGTAAGAATTACAAGAAACCAAACACAGCATTACAGGGTCATGGTGTTGCTTCAACTCAACTGTAAGAATAGGGCAATTTCTGTAATTGGAAATAAGAGCAGAAATCGTAACTCAGCCAACCCGGAAATTGAAGAAAGAGACATCCTGCATCTGTAATTACAAGAAGGATATGTAACATTCGCTCAACCACAGAAACAGTGTACATAACATCCTGTTGTCAGTATTATGAGGCAGACAAAATCCTCCAAACTCAACCATAGGAATGTGAACTTCAAAAGGAGGCAGTACGTGCCACATAACACCATAAAGAGCGAACCAGACAACGAAGCCAATCTGGATCAGAATGGGAGTAAAGGTGGGACATGGAAGGTAAGGAAATGGGTGTGAAAGTCAAACAGCTTTCACGGACAGCATGGGTTTTAGGAAGGAAGGACCTGTCTGGATATAAGATGACATAAGTGAAATGGTAGAGGATTCTGTTAACATTAATGGCATAAATATCTGATCGATGATGTCTGCAAGCGAGAAGGAGAAGGAAATAGGTCTTGAGGGAGAGATGATATACGGAACACGTTGATAAAGATTCATCAGGAGGATGGGAAATGGCATAAAGGACCACATTACGATCCCCATCCAAATCAAAAGAATATGGAGGACGCGTGACCTGAAAGGAGCAGAAAAGGAGGGAAATGACAGGGAAAGACAAAACCTTACAAGACTTGGAGAAGTGGAAGATGTTTGACAAGACTGCCTAATAGCTAGACACAGTCAAAGTGAACAAACCTTTGTCAAACAACTAGGTGATGAACTGGGAAAAATAAGGAACAGAAGGGTGGAATGGACAGAAACCACATTGAAGAGACCAATGGCAGAACAGATGGTAGACCATTGACTTTGGTAAATGGACATGGAAGAAGGTCTTATGGGTCTGGAAAGGAAAGATGCAACACGTGTAGTCAGTCTCTGGGCTGAAGCAATGGACCTGACAAAAGCCATGTTTGAAGAACAAGGGTGGTGATGTCTAGATGAACAATATCTGACTGAGGTCAATGGAGTAGAGAAGTAGACAGAGGTAAGGGTAGGGGAGATTGTAGAAGTAATGGTCAGAGCAGTGGGAACCATGGTTGTGCTGGCAATAAGGAACTACCAGAAGGACTAGACAAGGAGTGTTTGAATAGAACTCTGGGGAGGATTTGAATAGGAAGGTAAGCACAGATGTGATGACCCCTCCAATCTTGACTGAATGCATCCACTCCAAGAGCCAGCGGGTGTAGAATGAAAGACCAAAAAGAAGGAAGCTTGGTGTTCCAGTAGGTGGCAAAAGCATCAATATAAGGTGTTCCTAGCTGAGAACACACCCACCAAACAACTTGTTAATCGAGGGATCCCTAAGTGGGGAGAATCTTGTTGGGTTGAGATAAATGATCCGCAACCAGATTCAAGGTGCCAGAAACACGGCAAGCTAAGACCACAATGTGGTGACTGTGGGCTCTGAAAAGGAGATTCAGGGTCAGAAAGCACAGAAATCCAGATTTGGTGCCCCCTTGCTTGGTGATATAAGTGACCACTGTTGAGTTATTGTTTTTAGAAAAATAAATTTAACAACTTATTTCTAAATAATCTATATACGTATGTATAATAATAGAAATGTGACTGTATTTTACAAATAACTAGTCTACTAAAACACAGCCAAGACAGGTTACTTTGTAAAGACCGCAGTTCAGTTTTATGTTATTGGATACGGTAACATAAATGCCCGTGTACTATATCATTGTAACTTCTGTATTGTTAGGCAGGAACAGCTGAAAGGTCAGTATAATAAAAAATATATATAAATGTATAATGTTATGAGATTTAAGATATTTAGTCTAAACATTTATGTTTTTGTGTTACAATCTGTGTTCATTCTAGAATTAAAGATGCATAATTTATATTTATTTCCTAATTTTTTATGGTGGTTACGAGTTTGGTCAAATCTACCAAACCCATACAGAGATTCATTACTGAAAATAACACATAAAATATAAAATTTGTTCTTAAGAAATGTTTGATAACTATCTGGATATTACAAAGATTTTGCATGTGAAATTTGAAAATTTTCTGAAGCATAAAAATATTTTTAATATTAAAA